TTTTTGCAAATATTTATTGCTAATAAGGGAACACAATTATATATATACGAATAAGGACAAAAAATCTGTACATATTATAAAATTTAAAAACAATAAAAATTCTAATTGCATTTCATACTTTATTAAATATAAACTTAAGCATTTCTCTTATTAAGTCCATGTAACCACACTGATGTCCTCAGTAGTTACAACTTGTAACAAGTGTTCGCCAGTGGGCAAAATTGGGCCACTATAACAGGCATATATCATCACTTTCCTTTCTGGCCTGGGAGTCTACATGCTAAGATAAACCTCTCCCAACACAAGCACCAGCCAAGGACAAAAACAGGATTATAATTCTTGACTATCAGTTTAAACAATGATATCTTGCTCTGATGACTCCTGATACTCCAGAAAGCCAGATAAATGTGTGTTTTTTTGGCACTCACATTCCTGTAGACATAGTCTTCTTAACAATTAACACTCACCCCTTATGGAGCTCCTAAGTGCAACCAGGGGTGCAAATGGCCTTCATTAAGATCTTTTTACCATCTTTTATATGAACCATCCCAGATCTCATCTTCTGGATTAAGAATGTTTGCTAAGGCACAGTCAGAAAACGGACACTACAAGTTTCTTAGAGCTGCTCATTTATTCAGCCTGACGGCCTACCATGTATTGTACCCTACCACCCTAAGGTGATATTCCAACTGAGTTCAGTGGATCTCTGGGTTGCCTCAAAAGAAAATATAATAAATTTTCTGCTGCTATCAATACCAAGTCCTATTCCAAAATTAGACTGATTCCAAAATCTGTAGAAATATAGATATTATCAATATAGACTTTTTGAATATAACTGTGGAGATTTAGATGGGGAAAACAGTATGAGAAATTGAATGTGTTCAATTTCAAGGGCTGATATACCTTGTATAGGCTGCAAAGGAGGTGAGGGGAGCACACAGGGTGTCTGAGATGAGGGAGGACAAAGCTGCTCGATATGTAGATCCAGAGCCTCTAAAACATTAATTAGAAAAGTTTCCTAACCCACTATTCTGGAAGATTTTTTTTTTTTACTATTTCCTGATTGATATCCTCAATAAGATTCACAGAGAGCCAAAAAGATAGGCATTAGGTATGTATATGTATTTTATTAAACTTTAGAATAATGAAATAAATCCTAGCTTGTCCTAATGCCTTGCTCAGAACAGAAATGAAGCAATTCGACAGTATATAAATGTCAAAGGAAAGTACAGACAGTTACTATGTAAATTTACTGATACTCTAAATATTAAGTCATGAACATTTTCAAAAGTTTTATAGTTGAAATTTGAACATGCGTGGTCATCAAATAACCTCCCACAGAGCAAGTGGAATTTCATAAAAAAAATATAAAAGATAACTCTTTAAATTACATTAATTTTGAATTAATATCCAAAACAATAATAATCGTAGAGCTAGAAAAAATCATCAGGGTAGTCCAACTTCCCACTCACCCCAAGAGTCTCTTTTGCCAATATCTCAGCATCTCAGGTTAGTATGGTAGCCTAGCCCTTCATACTGAGTGACAGAAAGTTTACTAGGCTGTGAATTAGCCTACTTCACTGCTGAGCAGCTGCATTTGTTATAAATTTCTCTCTTAGATTTGAGTTAAAATCTTCGCTATAGCTTCTGCCCATCTGTTCTAGATTCTGCCTGATGAATCAAGAGAGAGTTGATTCCTCTCCCATCTGAAAGAACTTCAGGTGTCTTAGGAACCAATCATGGCCCCATAAGCTTTATCTCCTTCTGCTTGGATGATCCCAACTGCTTTAGCTTCTCTCTCTTTAGTATCTCAGGACATGTCTGAAATACCCCCACACATCCTGCTGGGTTAAAATGAACAATTTTCCAGTTGTCAAAGTCACATGTGTGACTCCTGCAATTGGTTGCAATATTCAAAATATTTATCTGGTCAGTGCAGAATAAAATGAGACTATCATGTCCTATCACAATTGACTTAACAGCAAAGTATCCTAAAATGCTCAGTACTTTTTGCACATTAATTGTGATAAACATAGGTCTCCCTTAGCCCCATCCCATACTTGGGTAACTTATTTTTTAATGGACATGTCAACCTTTACATGTACCCTATTATATTTCATTTTTTTGTTTTGATTTGCAATTTGATTCTGATCTGATAATTTTATGTCCTTTCATCAAAAATATTAGTTATCCATTCCATAATGTGTCATTCTTGCTTGATGAGTATAATTTAATATACTCATTTAAGACACTGATCAAAATGCTAATCAGATTATAGATGAATAACAATGAACTTTTTACCCCATTGAATATATAAATCTATGGATACGACCTCTATAATATGTCATTAAGGATTTGGAAAGTTTTGAACAAATTCTTGACCTCTGAGAGCTGGTGCCTTGGAAAGGTACTGTGCTACCCTCTATGTATGCCCTGGTTCAATAGCAGGTTAATGGATCATGGACTTAATTGATGTGTCATTTCCAATTTCAATTCTAATTTCCTCCGAAGTCCCATTGACGAGGGACCAAACAAATTACCTCTGACTAACACATGCAACCACAGCCTACTTCAGAATTTTTGACATTTGTTTTTTAAAATAAATGGGAAAAGCAAATTATTTTCAAGGATCCCCTTGGGCACTTAAGAATCTAATTTGATCTAAGCCATTTTGTGGCTCTAATAGAAAAATAAAAATAAGTCATTTTAACTGTACTATGTTCTAGCTACTCCTACTGATAATAGCCTGAGGGTCGGTGGGAGGAAAAATTAGGGTAAATTATCCAAAAAAAGAAAATGCAAGTCTTTAAAATTGGATGGGTTGAAAGTAAGGATGGGACGTATGTATTTGATATGTAGAAATACATAAAGTAGTTTCAAATCTCAATTGTTATTACTTGGGGGAAAATAAAATTAAAAAATAAAAAGAATTATTCCTGAGAGTTCCAATGTAAAGACTACAACTTTAAAACCAAGAAAGAAAACATTAGAAGTTAGGATTTCCAAACGTCCATCATCTGGCTTCTAGGTGGCTTCTCCTAGTGAAGGTCCCTGTCTGTGCTCAGTTTGCTGTCTCCCTGTTTGTCTTTCAGATAGATTGGAATTGTGATGCTCTTTGCAGTCTCCAGCCAGCAATTTCTCTATGTGTCTGATATTGTTTGCTCTGGCAAGAGCCAGTTGAGATGCAATAAAACACTCCTAGTGTCCTGAGGACACATTACCATTGAGCAGAGAGGATGCCGTCCAGGGAACTGGAATCGGCCAAGGTACTACAAGACATAATTCCAACCCTGGCTTCTGA